GAGAGAGAGAGAGATGTAAATAAAAAAATATTATAGTACGTGTTTTCATTTATTAATATTAGATAATACATTAATTTTACATATTAATAAAATATCTTTAAAAAAATAAATTTATTATAATTACATATAGAATAGAAGATACAAAAGTTATAGAAAACAGGAAAATTTAATAAAAATTTAATAGAAATTTATTTTGATATTTTAAATCTCAATCTCATTCATATTTTAATATTGTATTTACTTGTTGTAAGAAAACTATTTTTTTCTCCTATGTAACTCCTACGTATTTCATTAATTAATTACTTCTTAAGATAAGTTTGCATATGGTAAGTTATCATATGATATTTGTTTCTGATAATAAATTGTATAAATGTAATATAAACGCTAGAAAGAATATCTCTCGAACATTAGGAAATATATAAAAGATGCTATCGAGAAGACAAGAAAACAATATTAACAAACGTGTCAGATGAAAGAGAAATGCCACGCGTTAAACATATCAAACATAAGCATCGTTATCATCAGTACAGTTTGCATTATTTTTATTGTTAGAACATGCACGAGGTTCGAAAAATCTCTCGGATTAAGAATACGTGCGTATAAATCGTAAAATCAAGAACAGAAGAGCTTTTGAGAGCTTTCGCATTCTGCGTCGACCGATACATCGCTGGCGTGGCGCAATCCTCCCTCACAAAGCGAATCCGAATCCGAAAGGGGTAGTTTCTCCGTGGGTGGCGCTCGTGGCGCCGCTCTTCAACCTTCATGGCAAAAGCAAGGGTGGCAAGCAAGCCCCGATTCCAGGCCTCGGTTAGTCGTGCGAGGTGCGAGAGTCGCGCGTGCTCGCGAGCTCGTTGTCATCGCGCTTATATTTGTGCTCATTGCCGCCGCCTCGAGGAGCAGGTGCGATTAGATCAGACGAAGATTTATCTCTCGTCCATCCGACTGTCCGTTCGACTGAATTGAAGCGAATAGTGATTCGAAACGAAGAGGACGAAGCGCGGCGAGCGACGACGATGCCAGAAGACGATACGCAGGACACGCAGCTGGATTCTCGGTACGCGAGATAGTGGAGGACATCCGACGGATAATAGTGGCGATAGTGACCAGTGATTTCGGCGCGATTAGCAGCGATTAATTGATCAGGTGCGATATCCTGCTGATTCGCTGACTGCGCCACGCGCGTCCGCCCACGAATACCCACTTCTCACCCCCGCAAACGAGGCTGCTTTCTCCTCTCTATTTTCTCTGCTATCCTCCTGTGTTATTTCGCTGCATGCCCGCATATATACTTGTGCCGCAGTGTCGGCTAATTAATAATAAGTCGGTTAATTAGGAAGCCCGGCACGTAGCGATGGAAGACATAGGCTTTGACGTGTCTCTATTGTCACATTTGGTATCAATTTGGGAATATGATTGATTGTTCATCTTGTGTGTCATTTGCTTGGCACTTGCCGGAGCAATCGAGCTATCGAGGATGGAGTTATAAATAGATGTTCCAGAAGTAAATCGGCAGGGTCTTGATATGAAAGACTGCAAGACAAAAATCAGTTCTTGCTTTATTTATTCATGGAGTTCTCTTGGGAGCTCATGATGCAAACTTTAAACATTCCTGATTTACTTTGAACTCGTAATAAATTTAAAGACAATATTTGATAGACTATATTTAAGTATGATTTAAATATAATTTGTGTATGAGAAATATGCCGCGAAGCAACTCATCACTTTTTGCTGTCGTCTATCATCAAATCATATTGTAATAGTCTGTCTCTATCTCTCCCCGATGTCTCTCTCTCCCCTCCCTCTTCTCTCTTTCTCTCTTTCTCTCTTACTATTCGCACATAGTTTTATTTCCATTTCAATGCCGTACAAAATCCCCCTCGATCAATGAACTTAGAAACCGAGCCGAAAGATAAGCACACGTCTCGCGGAATAGTCGAGTTTACGGCTCGTCCCCAATGTGGATCGATATTTATATAGAAAAAAACATGCATGAAAATCTTCTCGCGATAACCAGAGCGTATGCATACGACGCAATCAGTTTTTCTTTTTTCTTTCTCCGCAATCAATTTTTCTTTTTTTAAATTTGATACGTAACCTTTCGCACTCTTTTACAATATACCGCCGCATATTTTTTTAAGATAATTAGCATGCCGATGTTTCAATGATTTACTTTACATCTAATCTTGTTGACGAGTGAGAATTCTCTTGATTTTTGCACTCTCTCTCAATTACTTTGTAAGGCCATCTTCATAATTTTCGGCTAATTATACGCGCGCTTTTTCACAATGAATGACCACCGTGCGATCCCGTACATTCCTGCCACCCTCATATTTCAAATTTCAGCCGCTGAATACATAATATAGCTTATTTGAACCAGGCAATTTTAAGTACGTGTTACATTTACATGTAAATTGATCTCTAAGCCATCTGAATTAATTCTCATCAACTATAAGTTACATTTATGATCTATTCCTATAAATATTTCTATAAAGATGAAATTAATTAAGGATTTAGCAATTCAATCCCCTTTTAAATAGAACTTGTTAAATCTCAAGATTATTTTTAATCTCCATTATTTTAATTTTTAATTTTTAATTATATGTATATAACGATATTTCATAAACAATATATATTTATAGATGTACAATGGGCACTGTTTTAAAATTATTCAAGATTATAAATAAAAACAAAGGAAAATATGAATAAAATATAAATTATTTATTTAAATACTTTTTCATCAATTTGCTGTCTAAAAAAGATCTGTTTTGTCTTAAGAGAAATAATGCAAAATAAACATTTATGCTTTAATTAGATTAATATTCTGAAAATATATTTGAAATTATTGTACGACATAATTGAATGAACATTTTAATATAATGTAACTATAAATATAAATCTTTATATGAATCTTTATTGATATAAATTTTATTAAAGTAGCAGCTACTAGAAATTAAAATAATAATTTAGAATCTCACATAATTTTCAATCTGTATTTGAAATGGATATTCATTAATACAATACAATATTTTGTCATCGATTTAAGAGTTACAGGGGCATGAATTTTCAGATAGGAGTGTCAAGTCTCGTCGCAATATCCAATTTCAATGCAAAGCAATTATGGTGAGAGCGTATTTTCGATATATCTGTTGGCTCTCAATGCCATCGAATTTATTGCAAAGCCGATTTTAGTATTCCAAAACCATGATTTTTTTTATTTCACACGTCTGCCTCGAACACGCGTATCGAGCAAATCGACGGATGTTCGAACTGGAGGGTTGTTTGTGCTCTACAATCTATACCCCATCATCATGAGTGCTTTAACTTTGCTTTCGAGAGACGTGACCTAAATGATTTTAAAAAAAGTGAGAGAAAAAAATATAATCAACGAATAAAATTCTCTTGTATAGGATGTGCATACAATACGATATCTATCACTTATAATCGAATTTTGTGATATAAGCTAAGTTTGAAAAAATAGGCAAGTATCTATACAACAAAATTTCAATCTTTAAAAGAGAATATTAGAAAAATGTTTATAATAATTTTAAAATTACTTAAAAATATAAAATTTATTGAAAAAATTTATTAAAAAATAAGCTTAAAAAAATATTAACAAACTTTAAGAACTCAAATTATTTTTAAAAGATCCAAAGCTTTTAACTTTATAAAATTAATGCTTATCATATTTTCTTATAATTTCTTATAATTAATCTCTATGGGATCTTTAACGGATTTAAACTTATTAAATTTATTAAAAATTCTTTCTTATATGCAAATTAGAAATAGTTTCATGATTTTACTTATTTATAATCAATAAAAAAAATTAATTTAAACCATTTGTGTAAAATTGTTAAAAGTCGAATAGACTCAGATATTAAACTTCCTCATTTAATTTTTATCTTAATTCAACATCGAAGTCGCAAACATTTTTATTAATATGATCTCTCCAAAAATATTATCCCTAAGGTAATTAATTCTATTTTAATAAATTTATCATTTAAAAATCTTCTATAAATTAATATTATATTTAAGTTATAGTTTATCTAATATAATAATCCTCCCAACTAATATATACTATAAATGAAAAATTTTATTAATCTTTCTTTGTATTTAATCTATTTGCATATATAATTGAGGACTAAAAGAAATAGAATCGCATAGCAATATTTTATTTGTAATGAAATATTAATAACAGCAATTATTTCAAAATAAATGTTCAAAGTAGTCTCTTAAATGACCGACAACTCCACTTTAATCCAAGTTTACCCATTAAGCAAGATGTTCTCTTGTAAGCGTTTTACACAAGCTTTCTTTATAATAATGACGTGATGAAGCGACCAAGATTCTAGTTTAATAAATATTCAAGTTTCAATCGGTCTGCCAATTTACTTTTACCATGAAAAATTCTATCGCAGGCGCAACATTTTAGAAGAAGATGAATCATTTATTTATCTTATTTATAATTGATTGCTTATATATTATCTTCTAACGCAGTTTAACAAAGTTTAATGAATAACGAGCTTCATTTTGACACATTGACATGTGTTAAACTTGATAAAAATGACGTCACTTTTAATATCGGTTGCCTCGTTGCGCGTCATTTTTATGTCGTTATTAATTAATGAATGTAATCATTTAATGCGCCAACCAGAAAACGAGAGGATTGGAAGACAAGAATGACATTACCCGAGAAGGGGAAACAAAATATAGCGTAATATCCAGGTTTAAGGTACAGCACAAAGGGATAAAACTGTGGAAACTATCAATACATAAAATTGGATTCTAAAAGAATAATTCTCTTAATTTTTTATCTAGTAAATTGAATAATGAATGTATTTTTAAATTTATTTGTTAATTAATATTAATTTGTAGTAAATTGTTTTTTAC